TTTTAGAATGCATTATCAGACGTCACTTAGTTTGGATGGAATTATAGTTATAGGAATAATGAAAGATGCATACAAGGGAGATGTAGACTTTAGAGTTCTAGTCCTTCTATTTGGGGCATTGGAGCTGTATTGGTGTCAAATATAGTGGGACATTTGATGAATACCAGCAAGAGAGTAAATCTTTTGCACCAAAAGCATTGGATAAAAGATGATACAAATCTTCTCTCACTTAACTTTTCACCAAAACATAGGAAATCCAATGATTGCCCTAACGATACAGATCAGAATTTGAAGACATAGAAACACTGACAATTTGGCACATGTTCACATAAGTAGGGGAATAGAGATTTATTTACTGGTGTACTGACTCAAAACACACATTCCTCAGCCCTGTGCCGGAATTTCCCTTTAGGAATGATAGCTGTAGACCTCAAGGGAGAGCATGGTGTCTAAGCAATGGAGAATGCCAATCCCATTCTTCTGGACAATTCTTAAATGCAAGAAATGTGTGGAGGGGGCAGAGGAACTATCAGAAAATACAACGTTCAGAAAAGAATGGGGGGTGTTAGAAGTATGCACCACACTCAGGGGCAGGAGTGAGTTATCTGAGCAGCACTGCTTGGCAATCAGTTGTTGGAAGAAAGAGGAAGACATCATCCTAAATGAAAAAGGCCACTATTGTCACTGATCTTATTAAATTTTAAAACTAGGCAAGGCTGTAGAGAAAAAGGAAGTGATAGAGCTTAGATTAGAAGATGGAGTAAAACTTTTAACCACAAAATTCCACGTTCCTGGTGTTCTGTCTAAATGTGGTTTCCTCTTATCCCTTCCTTTTTTGACTTAAAATTTGTTTAAAAAAAGTCTTTAAGTCGTCCTTATTCATCAAAATCACTGAGAAAACAGATAGTTTGGTGCTTGCCGTTTTATATGGACAGAGTGGAAAGAAGTGGAGAGTCACGCTCATGTGGCTACTTTGGCTCAGAACAGGCACTGACTTGACAATCTCCAATTATATTCACTTACCCATTTGAATTAGCTCTCTAGTGAAACCAAATATAGCACCAGAACAAACTTTCTGAGTCCATTTTCCTATTCTGATTTCGAGTGAGAACGTCACTGTCTTCTAACACTCAAGGAGCCCTTGCGAGGCTGTTTAAGATAACAGTACTACCAGTTTGCTCCCTCTGCCCCTCTACTTCTATGGTGGACAGCTTTTGCTCTAAGTCACTCTATGTTCTGTCATTTTGGGACCATTTCCAGCATCTTTCCTGTTCATCTCTAGAAAGACAGGTTAGTACACTACTTACATATGCACTGGGGTCGCACTTGCTTAACGCTTTGCAAAATGATCTCATTAAAATTGCCCGGAATTCACCTTCTACAGTGAATTCTTCTAATGATTCATACATAATCAGATCTAAGCAGTACACAAGGAAAAATTATATCGGTGTGTTCAAATAACTCTATGTACAAACTTGACAAGAAAGATGAATGACTTTCTCAACATTGAAACCCCGATACCTAGTTATTTTTTTTTAAATTTAATTTATTGGTACATTCTAGGTAGACAGTTCTTGATTATTCTGAAAAGCTGTGTTGGACTAATCTCCACAGAACAATCTTGGAAAGTAGCTTCTGCTACTGGAAAAGAAACTGATCTGGCATGGATGTAAAACTGGAACTTTAACTATGTTCACCAGAAAGCAATCTATTCTTTCTGATGTATTAATTTACATTTCTGCTATTTTAATGTTTAAATTGGATTGATGAAAATGAAAAAAATGCATACTATGGAGAAACAGAAATGTAAAAAATAAAATCATATTTATTTAAAGAAAAATATACACACAGTGTACAATGAACATGGTTTACACAGAACAATAAAACAAAAATGATATTTCTTCAAGTGCCAATGATCTAATCTATCTGTGGCTCATTTCCTGGGAATACACATTATTGATTAATCCAGAATATATAACATAAAAAGAAATCAAATGAGTACCACAAAAATCTGAAAATGCAATGTTAGATTAAATGAAATAATAAAATATTTTATACAAAGGTTTGTGTGCATGCAATGAAACGAACGTCCATATAGCTCCGGGCACTTGTATTCTGTCTTTTGGAAACATGAAATATTTTAATTATGATATAGTTACTAAGGAATATTATAAAAATAGTCATACTATGAGTGTGAAGGGGCAAGACTCAAAGTACTTGTATTTATTAAAAAGACATATTTTACTTTTATATATTTTATTATATAACATTTATGAGGCAAGATCATTTCTCCTTTTCTCTGATATTCATGCCCTTGGGTGCCTCACTTGTGAGCTTGATTTTCTTTTGTAATTTAAAATTCTAAGTATGCTTGAACAACAACTTCAGATCAGCAAGCCTGATTGCATCTACCTTTTGGTATTAATATGATCTTATAAATTTTTCCTTTCTTTTTGTTACTAATAGTGAGACGATATTTTCTTATAAATCAGAAATGTTTTAGCCTTTCTCTTACTTGCATAAAAAAAATTCAAAGAACAATCAGTGTGTACCAGGAGAAATAAAAAATGTAAATTTCTATTCCTCAACTCTTTACCTAATTGGCCTGCCACATTTTATCTAAAGCATTATTTATTTTCCTATTTCCAAAGGAAGTTTTGCTATAAATGGTATATCTTTGAGTAAAGTTCTAGCTTCAAACTGCCAGGGAAACACAGGATGCAACATTGGATACTTACAAAACTACAAAACATAAATATGAGGGTAAAAGTGTAGTTGCTTATACAGATTGCAGCTGGGCTATATGAATGTGAATTTATGCTAAAACTGTCAAATCAGCTACACAAATTCTTAGCAAATTATTCTTTTCAGTAGTGCATAATTTGTAAAGCTTCCAGCTTTTAGTAATGTCTTGTGCTCAGTATGTTTGCTTCCCTCCATAAATGCTGATCATAACTTTTCTCAAGCCAAATTCTTAAATCCGTGGTGAAAGTTAATTTATTTCCTGAAAGATTACGAAATGTGGCCTGTATATTGAACTAAAGTGATACACCATACTGCCTGGAAATCAAACATGTACAACATCTGTGATTTTTTTCAATTGAGCTATATTTATTAGAATCTGAGCATAGTAATATGTTACTATTCTTCCTACATTTAGAAAATGCCAAAATTATAAGCTTCAAAATTGATGCTGAAGCACATTTTCAGTCCTACACTGATTAGGTTAACATTTCCCCAAATTTAGTCTTGTGTTAGTGCTTACACCAAGACTGCATTGCTATGATTCTTCTTGCAACGCGTCACCAAGACAGGTTTTTAAATTAATCTCCATAATATAATAATTTAATTATGAAAACAATGTTAAATATCTAATATGCCTGCTAGCTACTAGGCGTTCATAAGAGGATAAACACACAAACAGAACTGATAGCCACTTGAAGATGACTGATTATATTGAAAAATAATTGTAATAATCCTGCTTCCAATAATTTGTTATTTTGGGGAGAAAACATGATAGTGGGATTCAGTATATGGCTGGTTTTCCAGGGCCCACATGTGGCAACTGGCAGCGTTTCCATTTCTGTGGTGTAAGAGTTTCCTCGGATGCTGATTTCAAGCTATGATGCGATATTCCTGAATATGGACATAGGAAGTGGGTCTTCAGGGTAGTAATGTAGCATAAAGGAAATACAGGAAAGACATGATAGACTCAACACACTGCAGGATATGAGTAAACACTAAAATTGAGTAAAATGATGAGGAAGGGGTAATCTTTGTTTATCACCTTTACTTTTCGTAAAATCCATGATTGTATTTCATAATTTAATGTCTGATCATGTTGGTGCGTAGCAAGTAGCTAACAAAGCTGCGGACAATTTAAAGATCAACTGTCATGAGTCAACAAGGCAAGTTCCACCTTGTCGCTGCAATCAGCTCTCTTTAGGCAGCATCAGCCTTTACAGAAGGATGATTTGGTTTGCTTGGGAAGAAAAGCATGACTGCACAAATATTTCCTTTTCTTTGTCTTTTTTCCACCTGTCTTATTTTACTTAGGGGTAAATAGGACAGTATTCTCTACCCAATAGTAGCTTTTAAGAGCTCACAGCTTTTCAGAAGAGGTGTTACTCTTACAAAGAAGTGACTGGCACTTAGTGACATGGACTATACTGACCTAATGGGGTAGTGGCTATTAAAGTATTAGTCACCTGGATCAAATGGTTTCTGTGATACACTGGGTTATAGAACTGACCATCAGAAAGTTGGGCAGCATGTAAATAAGGCTGGAGGTTATATTTATAAGAAAAAGAAGCCACCATATGAGAAATAAACAAAGATGGCAATAAGTATGGTTCTACTTCAATCAAATTTTTCAAAGTTATACTGGTAACTGTTTGATGGAACGTTTCCTAGACCTTTGTCATGGGGTCAGTCCTAATCAGGATGACACCTCTCACTGACTTTAAATATCCTCACGTAAGGCTCTGTAAATGCATTTGGTGCTGGTAGAAGCAAAAAGGCATATTTGAGAAAACAGGATGAAGTGAAATAAACTATACTGTCATTTTCTTGGTTCCTTTTCTTTTCTTTTTTTTTGGGGGGGAGTTCAACACGATCTCTGCAAATAGGCTTACATATCTGAAATGAAAATGTAGACAAAAAAGCATGACTATGGCTGTATTTATACAAGAGAGATTATAAAACTTGTTCAACATTTGATTCAAAAAGTTTTTATAATCAGAAATGGAGGAGTGGCTGTCCAAAGATATTTGGACTGTATCTCAGGAAAAGAACAAAAATGTCGTTTATAAAACAAGAATTTTTTTGATGAAATCTACTCTTAGAGGCATAAACAAATTAGACTTGTTATAAGGAAATGCTGGTGATTCTGCTAATAAGAATGAAAATTCATATGCATTTATACTGCAGTAAGCTTTACTCTTTTAGACTTCTGTATTAGTATTTACTTATTTTTTAAAAAAGAATCTGTGAAATGTCTTCTAGAAAAAGAATCTATAAAATGTCTTCTAAAAACTCCACTGTTGTTCATTTTCTAGCTGGCAATTATTTTTTTCTAAATTGGAGTTGAGGCTTTGCTTTAAAAAATATAAACAAAAACTACTGTTGATAAAATATTTACATGGTGATGATTGGTTGAGATCTCTTGCAACTGAGGGTTCCATTTAATCTATTACATGAAGACTCACAAGTTTTCAAGGAGACCTCTGGCATCCCAAACTCTTCATCTTAAATCAAAAGTGACAATTAATATAACCACAAATCCTACCATTTTGAAATAAAATCAACAATTCAAAGATTCTGTTTAATCACTGAAACCAAGAATGAGGTAGAACGTAGATCACCAAGCTACTTTTTCCATAGACCCAGAATGTACAGCCTGTTTTTATTGATAAGGCTGCAAACAGTTTGGCAGCTGCTTCAATAATATGTTATTATCTGAAATAAACGATTGCTAATTCTGGTGTGAGAAACCACAAAAGTTTATCCTGAGTTTGCAGCATCAGATTTGAAAAAGTCACCACGGTGCTAGAAATAGCCTTGAAATCCTTATTATAATAGGCATCTCAGGCAAGGAACCATCACATTTGCCATGGAAAGTCTTCCAGTCTCATCAATTAAATGTGGTAGCGCCAAGAGTTTTTTCTATGTAAAGAGCCTCTAGCTCTTCCAAAGAAGAGTGACGCTCTGTATGGCATGCTCCCCTGGTGATGAAGGAGAAAGAACGAGTTCTTAACAGTTGGGGAAAGTGGGTCTCATTTGTTCAGACTCTTATACCCTGAACTTCAATTTCAGTGAAAAAAAATCCTAATTTCTTTTTGAATTTACTGGTTTTCTCCTTCATTTTCATACATATTTAGCATAACAATTTGGAGAAGGGCAAGCAAGCCTTCTTACTATGGTAAGAAGAGTGAGAAGAGATTTCAATCATTCTGCAATTCTTTCTAACCAGGTGATCAGCCTCAGTTTACTCATTTTTGGAATAATGATGATAATCAAGATGAACCCTAAGGAAGCTACTGACTCATAATTTTAGAAAACTTATAAATGATATGATTTTACTGAGAAAGGACAAATTTAAAATTCAGGCAAACATAAATTATTGTGTTATCAGGAGATATGGTGCATGTGTCTTAAAAGATTTATTTGTGCATATCAGTCTGTGCTACTTTGCAAACTTACACAAAGTGGACCGCTAGAAAACACCTTAAAAGATATTTTTCTTACTTTCACGAACTTCACTGGATAAAGTTTAAGCAGTGGAGATTCTCATTTTGGGCGACTGTTCATCTTCCATGTCCTTATCAATTCAGTCCCTCACGGTGTTTTGTACATTGTACTGTTGAGCTTTCTGTCCTGCCACTTGCGCAGCTGGTCACACAATCCCAGATACCATGGTCCTGAGATGTAGTCAGAGGTGGAACCACATCTGGATGGAACAATGATGGTCTTTCCAAGCACACCTGCACTCTGCTTCGGAAGTCAACCTCATGAGTTAACTTTACCTGGTTCCACTCGCTAAATAAATATCTCACAAATCCTACAAAGAGGCTCTCAGATTGTCCGTGATTAAGGCTGTGATATAGCACCACGTGACCTCTTTCCTTTTACCCTCACCTTCTTTGTTTTGTAGGGAAAGCCCTACCTCTGATCGCGTTTTCTTAGTGTGACATTCATCTAAATATTCCACAGATGGTACCAACCCTTTCTAAAATGAAACCGTAGAGAATCAGCCCACAGTAGCTTAGAATTACACATGACAATGTTTTATATGATTTTTAGAAACAATTTCCTTGCGAATGATGCGATGTGAAGTACCAAGTAATTCCTCAATTTGGGTAAACAATCGTAAGCACCCCGCCCAAATTCACAACAATGAAAAAAGTAAAAAAAGACCAAAATGGAGGCTCTCCAAAGGAAACATTTTTGTGTTGGGGTTTGTTTACATGTTGGTGAGCTAGGTGTCAGCTTTTCCGTAAGTGCCCTCTGGAGGTCTGTAGTACTTGGGGAAAGCCATCAGCTGTAGCATGTTGAAAGCATACTTCCTGCATTTGATATTCTTCAGTACGTTTTCTATGCGGCATCCTTCTCTGGTGAAAGGGGGAAAAGTACAACTTCATGAAACACAGAATAAATAAATATGCTTTATTTGTTCAATGCAGAGTTGCAGCAACAGTCCAAGTAAAAATAACAAAGATTCAACTCTACATTTTCTTTTTCCACAAATGATGATACATCTTACAAAATTAAATCCTAGGCCAGGCCCGATACCATTATTGCCTTCGGAAAGAGATGATTAAAGTCTCTTTGTTCTTAACAAGACATTTAAGGTTTAATAAACTCTTTAAATATAATTTGCTCCACAATACAGGTTCACTCTAGTTTCATAAATATATCTGCCTTTTTATAACTTTTCCACAAATTAATTTCATAGTCTTTAAAACACATTAAAATCTATATGTAGCCCTAAGGATGTAGGTTCTAGGAATAAGGCATTTAATTTATTAAGTCTGGCCCTATAGATTTTTAAAGGAAAGTTTCATCTCTATTTCACTTCATTATTTTAGCCGTGCAACAAAGAGAGGAAATGGCTTTCTGAATAGCCTGGTCCAAGTCTCAGCTTTGTAAAGGAAGAATGCTTGTCCACGGAGTACAAAAGTCACAGGTGCTAAAATCGGAGCATCAAGACACAGAGGAGACCTTGTTAGAAAGAATAGAAAAGTACTCTGAAGGCCAAATTAACCCAAACAATAGTTACAAACAGGCTAATTTAATTACAAAACATAAATAGGCATTCTCTCCATAAAGTTGACAGAAAAGGGAGAAGAACAGCAAAGAAGTAAAATAACAAAACAGGTTAATTTAAAAAACCAAACAGAAGTTTGTATCAGCTGATGGCAACTATGTTATTAGCACAGTGGAAACAAAGTCTGTAACCTCCCAGGTCCTTAGGGTTTATCTCAGGGTTTCAGTGACTTGTGCAAATTCAATCTTAATTTCTTTCCATAAATTGAATGGGAAGAACAGGAGGCTCAGAACTTCAAGCTTTCAGGATTCTGCTCTTTGTTTTAGTCCAAAGACAGTAATTTAAAAATTCTTCTTGAACTAGTTCACAGAGGGAAAACACTTTTCTATGAACAAAAGAGCAAAATAACTCACTAAATGCATAGTACGTCTTGTTTTTTTAGTTTTTAGGAAAAACGAAAACACAATTCAAACATTTTTCTTAACTTCTGTGAATCTGAAAATGTAGAAATATTACAGCATCCCCCCCATAATTTAAAGTCCATTGTCATTGGTAGAAAAGAAAGGAATACAACATAAAAATTATTGGTATTTGGCTAAGAGTAATGCAAGACTTAAAATAAGCCACACAACTAGCAGGTGTGAGCTGACAAGTAGCAAGGCGACAGGATAGAAGTGTCGAGAAGTTGGCTTGTTATCAGTTAGACAGCCTGTTTCAGGGTCGTCGGATTCACTCAGTGCTCCCTGGGTTTGTCTGCTGTTGAACAGGGAGGAGTTAGGGGAGAGAAGAAAACAGTATAGCATTCACACAGTAAGGAGAATCAACCTTTAATGCTCTAAAATGCAACACATTATCTTACACAATGCAGCTGATTTAAATGAACTGCTTATGCTACAGAGCCCCAAGTGCATCCTGAATATTGTCTTTCACTGCACTACATCAACAAAGGTATTTAAAAGATGAGATTCCTTTTGCTTGTGCAAAAGGAAACAGTATTATGAGAATATTCATGTGGGTTGAATCTAAATGTAAAAGGAACAATAAAAGAAGTGTAATAGCGACAGTAAATAAGACTACATGAAGAAAATGAAATGGGTCAGCTCAAAATAATCTGATAAATACAGTTTAGGGAAATAAAACGAGGTTGCCATAAAACACAGGATGTAGTGAAGCAAATGGATTTGTTCGCCACATTTAAACACATCTTCTACTGGTACTGTTTCTATATGATGCATCTAAAATTGTAAAAATGATTAATTGAAATGGTTTGGTCTTTAAAATGAAACATCTGACATGCCATCCTTACCAGTCATGATATTAATTTAATGAAACCCAAACCACTACTCTTCTGTTCACTCAGCTCATAAACCGTGCTCCCTACAGCTAATCTTACTGAGAGAGGGCCAAGTCTGACTCCTCTGGACTCCTGATCCGGACAGAGATTCACACTGTCAAGTCACTCTTCAGAAAACAAAAGACTGAAATTTCCAGATGCTATATTTTCTGTGTAGGTTAAAAGGAGGCTTGGGGAACTTCTACAGTTTTGCTTAAAAGCTGTTCCAATTATGACAAATCTGAAATATACTGATATAATCTGAAAATAACATTCTTTCTCTTCCTACAGGCACATATTATCAGTATTTGGAGCATTCATATGCTAGTTTAATCTCTTTTAGCTCTTCCACACTTTAAAGAGAATACTGTTGGTGTTCTTGTAAAAGTTGCCATGAATGGAACTCCTTAGCCAAAGCCCCATTCGGTCCCTGACAACTTCATACAGCAGTTTTTGACAAGACTCTGACTATATTAGTGGATGAATTGGCAAATAATAGCTATGATCATTTCAAATTTCGAGTTCAATTTTTTTTACAATACCAAATAAACCATGCTGTGCTGTGGGCTGGCATTTCCTTATTAGACCTAAGGACTATGTCACCTAAGACAAACTAGATTATCTGAAAAACAAATGGTTTATTGAGCAAAAGGAGGTTTATTTTGGATTTACATAATTCATTTTTTTCAACTGTGCAAGGGAGATGGCATTTGTACAACTTTCTGGTTATCCTTGGTGGAAAATGTGCAGTAGATTTTAAACTATCAATACTTTAATTTGAGTAAGATAAATCATCTTGACTTATTACTTTCATGGGTTTGAAATCATTATATTATTGTGTAATTCCAGAGAAATAATTTATTCACTCATCCACTCAATATTTTTCAGTGTCTCCTATTAGCCAGTTACTGCTATAACAGAGGGAATATAACAGTCAATAATTCAGACAAAACTTCTGCCTCTATGAAGTTTGCTTTTAGGTTGAATGAGAGGCAACAAAAATAAGAATAACATCTAGCAAAAGCCTTGGAGAAAAGTGAAGCAGGAAAGGAGAACTCTGAGTGTGGGGTGTGTTTGCATGTTCGATGTATGGGTGGCAAGAGACAGAGGGATGTGACGATGCCAGGAGGGCCCAAGAAACAGACAGAACTGAAGGAGGGAATCTCTAATGATGGCCTCCACTGACCACCCTAACTGCCACCACAGAAAAGGACATTAAAGCCCACTGAGGGCTGCAGTTTGATTTTCCCCTGCAAGAACCCTTCAAAACGGTCTTCAAACAGGGACATGTGCATCCTACCAAATGTGTCAGGTGACTCACTGGGGGAAGAGGACAAAGTATGAGACTTAAGTTTTATCAATAAGGACCTCATTCCAGGATATGTACTCTATTAGTAGCATGACTTGCTGAGGCAGCTGAGACCAGAGCACAGACTCTGGGTCAGTCCACCTGTTTCAACCTCCTTTGTCATTGCTCCTCCTTTGTCAATTGAGTAGTTTTAGGCAAGTTAGTCAACATCTTATACCCCAATTGCCTTCTCTTTCTAATGGTGGCACTGATAATAACAATACTAATAATAATACTAATAATACCTATGTCATAGAAGTACTGTGAGGAAAAATGTTTGTTAATAACTACCAAGACATCTGAACAGAAAAATACATAAAAGAAGCATTCTATAACAGTTATCATAGTATCATTTCTTTATCAAAAATTACACACATCTTGATCGTACAGCTAGAAAACTTTTTTGCCTTATATATATAATAAACAAGGCTACAAGCTGCAGATCGAGCCCACTGGTTCTTAAAAATGGAGGAGCAGAGAATCAGTGGAAGTTGTTAGAAAATGCTGAAAAAGTCTTACAACAACTGCCCTTGGCCCAAGTACAGGGTATTAATTTATATCACATAGCATATTTCTTACAATTAGCAAAGCACATTTATGATATTTGAGCTTGAATATTGTATACACCTTCCAAGCAAATATTGATAAGTTCAAAATATTTTTTGGAAGGAGAAATTTTATAATTAAACCAATCTGTTATTTATTAACTGCTATCTCTGGAGGTTAGAATAGCATATTAAAAATGCTTTGCACATAATCATCCTATTATTCAGCTGGACTTCAAAGCAACAAGATTCTTGGGGTTGCCATAGAACTTAAAGTTTGAAATCCATGACTGATCACAAAAGCAGATAAATGGTCTTGGGGCTGCCTCCTTGCTTCCTGCCAAGAATAGCAGAGTCTTTTCTTCATGGCCACAGATGAATTTTAAGCACTGAACACTGGCTAAAAGCAAAGGATTCATTAACCAATGGTATTAGTAATGTCTTCACCAGAGTATAATGACAAATAATTACTTAATGTCTGCCTTGAAAGGTTCTGTGACAATCCAGTGTCATCAATTTAGCTAGCACTGACTTGTAGATCACCATGGAATAAAAATCCCAATACTGTTTCTGGGGGAAATAAGACAAGATCAAATGTTTAAGGGCAGTTGCTGAATCTGTAGGATAGAAAATGATCTTTTCTTCAAAGGATTGTCAAGGTGATTACTTAAAAGGTGAACAAATAAAACGAAATGTCTCACTTTTAAATACTTCATTGCCTACACGAGGAGACATTTCCTTAAATATGTATGACTTGATGACATTTGCTTATTGAGACCGCTTTTGTGTTAGTGAAAGGTTGTGAGCACCCTTTGCAGATATCCTCTGAAATCATTCTTCATACAAAGTGAGAGCTCTCCTAACTTCCTTTATTGAATAATGATTAAGAGTTTTGATATTCAATGTTCAGGTCCTTTAACCACTGTAGTTCTTCAAGTTTCCCAAAGGAAAAATACCAACTGAAACTGCAATGCAAAAAGTCTTTCCTTAGAACTAATAAGCTGATTTCCTCCTGTGCTAATACGAGACTACTTCCTATTTAATTACATGCTTCAAGTTCAGCAATATGGGCATACCACTATGAATTTTATGAGTCAAGACTGCTAATATCTTACAGA